CAAATGAAAAAAAAATAATAATAATAATAAAAAAACGAAATACAAATCTTTCCATGAACTTTTGGAAGTACCCAAGTATTTGATGTTTTGTTTTTGATTTGCTGCCCTTACTAGTCCATGAGGGCAGGGATTCTTGATCCTTTTGTTTATTACTGTATCCCCAGCACTCAGAACAGGGCCTGGCACACAATGAGCTGAAGAAATATTTGTGGAGGAAAATCAAGCTGAGAGATTTAGAGAAACCTTTCATCTTGTGTTAGCCACTGGGTACAACTGTGTCTGAGTTCCCCTGTACTTTTAAAATGCAGAAGTCAGTGAGAATCTCTTCCTCAGGAAATTGGCATTTGGACTGTGTGTAGGGGTGAGAGAGGCAGAAACTAAATCATAATGATGAGAAGCAAACTAGCCCCAGGGTTAAGCACACGTGTTCTGGAGTTAGATCATTCAGGTATGAACAGCAGCCACTTACTATGTGGCCTTGTGTAAGTTACTTAACCCTCCCTAGTCTCAGTTCTTCATGTATAAAATGTGGACAATAATAGTGTCTGCTCCATAGGGCTATGGTGAGGATTAAATGAGAAGAATTATGTCAAGTTCTTAGAGCAAACCTTGGCACACTATAAGCACTCAATAAGGATAACAATTATTATATGCTTAAACTAGTTCAAGAAGGATGCTGTTACTTATACCCAAATGATCTTAAGGTCTTAATACTCATGGAATAAAAAATAAAAGGCATGTTGTGAACTGTAACTGGTCTTGTATCAGACATTACATGATGGTTACATTCTTCTGTCTTCTCTCGCACCCTAGCCAGTGCCTGGCATTCCTTTATTACTCCAGGGACAATGTTTAGAACCCTAGGGATTTGCTGTTATTTGAATATCCCCCTAAGCTCCTGTTGGAACTTCACCTCCAGTATGTTGGTGGGAGATGGGCCCTTTAAGAGGTGATTAGATCATGAGGTCTGTGCCCTTGGGAATGGATTGATCCATACATGGAGTAATGGGTTGATGGTTTAATGGGTTGTCACAGGTACGGTACAGATGGCTTTAAAAGGAGAGTAAGAAGGTTAGCTCTCTTGCTCAGGCCATTCTCTTCATGTGACACCCTGTGTGGCTATAGAGTCACTCAAGAAGGTCCTCACCAGATGGGCTCCCTGGACCATGGATTTCCCAGCTTCCAAACTGTAGGAAACAAATTTCATTTCTTTATAAATTACCCAGTTTCAGGTATCCTGTTATGAGCAACAGAAACGAACCAATACGGGATTGTTTTTTGCCTATTAACTAATCAGGATATCACATTCCTCTGAACACAGTGATGGGTTCAGGGGTGGACACATGACATAAGTTGGTCAGTGGGGATCTGTTCTGGGACTTTTGTTGGAGCGGATGGGAAGGAGGGGCTCTGACGCATGGGAGGCGGGAGCTTATGGGAAGTAAGCCTGGCACTCCCCCCCCAGGAGGTGTGAGCCTGCCTTGGAGCGGGGCTATATTTACATGTTCTTTTGGCTACTGCAACAGAGACTCAAATAAGACTGGCTTAAGTAAGATAAAAATTTATTTCTCTCATATAATATTCCAAGTAGCAGCAATACAATATGGCAGTTCCCTGGTCTTAGTTGTCCAGGCTTCTTCCAGCTTCTTGCTTAGCTATTCAGGGGGCATGAACACCCAATCAAAGATGATCCCCTCCACCTCTTCATTCCAACCAGCAGGAAGCAGAAAAAGGGGGAAAAAGAGGACACACCCCTTCCCATTAAAGGCAGGCCCTGGAATTTGCCTATGTCCTTTTACTTTACATATCATTGGCTAAGAGTTAGTCACAGGACCACACCTTGCTGCAGGGGATTCAGGAAATGTGGCGATTACTTTGCGTGGCCAGCTAAAAATCAGTGGTTCTATCATCATAGAAGAATTGGATTTGGGGGGACAGTGGACAGTCTCATTCTCAGAGCAAATCAGAGCCAAAAGACAGCAACAAAATCCTGATGACAACCTTAATCCAACTGTGCCTGAAGCTGCACCTCTCAGACTTTTCTTTTCTTTTTTTTTTTTTTTTTTCCTTTTTGTCTTTTTTCGTGTCCGGCAACAGATCGCAACCCTCAGTGTCGCGCCTGTACCGGACCGGGACCGGCAACGGGATCGCAACCCTCGGTGTTGCTCCCACACCTCGCTCTGCCAGTGAGCGGGAACTGGTCTGTATGTGGGATCCGAACCCTTGGCGGGAGCGCCACCGCGCTCCCAAGCGGATGTGAACCATTAATTTCCTTTTTTGCCAGTGCTTGTTTGAATTGGATTTTTCACCACATGAAACAGAAAGAACCCTGATTGACAGAGTGAGATATAAAGCCCCGTGTTGATGTCCAGCGCAGAGTAGGAGGTCACCAGTGGCTGTGATATTATTGCTGTTGCTGCTGTTACTGGGTTGCAGTTGGCTCTACAGCTCACATCGTCTCGGCTCCGTCTATCCTCCCCAGCACAGACAGATGGCTCACCCCTTTATTTTCACTCTCATGGCCCTTATCGACTCATGTGTGATGACATTATTTACCTCTCATTCCAATGGAAATTCATTTCTTCACTCTCCCATAGACAAAACAGAAAAGAGGCGTTTCACCCCAAAAATGTTGGGGGAGGAAGTCCTGAACCCTCTGTGTGTGACAGGCTCCTCTCTGGCATCCAGTCATGCCTCACCCCACCCCTTTCTTTGAGGTCTTAGCTTTTCTCTGCAATTTTGTTCTCGTTTTCTGTCTTGATAAAGGGCGGATGTGGCACGCAGGTGGACAGCACACAAGAGTGCCTCCTGATTCATCACTTTGGTCATTGTCATCATCTACTTCTGTCAGTTCAAATGTGTCTCCAACAGTTATATGATTTCTCTAGGGAGTGGTCTGACCCCCCCCTCCATGCCCCTCTGTGTTTATGGGATGGAGCTCTCCACCAGCCACCACGTGGGCTGATGTCTTGGGAATAGGGATCTAGGGACAAGAAGGTCTGAGAGATGGGGTCCAGTGGGCTGGCCAGTGAGCTCAGTTGGTCAGAGCACTGCATTATAACACCAAGGTCGTGGGTTCAGATCCTTCTACTGACCAGCCACCAAAAAAGAAATAAAAGTGGAAGGGAGAGCCACAGATTACAGAGCACAAAGGCTTCTCCTGGGGGATGGAGGCTGTCCAGGAGAAAGATCCACCATCCTCATGGTGATAGAATCCTGGTCTTTAGCTTCCCATGGGGCCTGTGTCCCAGGGGGAGGAGAGGCCTGCCTCAGGTCGAATACAGAGAGGGCATGTGCTGGGTCCCTTCCTTCCGTCGCAGCACGAAGTCTCCGGGGGCAGCTGGACTCATTGCATAGAAGACATTGGCATTGTCAGGAATCAGGAGCTCTGGTCAGGGAGGAAGATCATGGTGATGGGCTTGTACAACCTCATGCCTCCCCCATAAAAGACCTGGGTAACCTTCTACCATTCACCCTAGGGCCTGAACAGCTTTGGGTCCCTCTAGTAAGTGTCAGGCCAACTTTATTCTCCTCTCATTGGGAATCTGGACAACTTCCCACTCAAAGCCCATAAAAGCCTATGCCTCCCCCCACCATAAGCCTGGACAACTCCTATCTTTTCCTCCTGGAGTCTGGACAACCTGCACTACAAGTTCGTGCAAACACCAGCCACCCACCCCAAACGACTTTCTGCCCACCCCACCCCTCTCCTCCAACCATTTCCCAGCCAAGTTCATACTCTCTCACCATGAACTTGAATGACTTCTCAATTCCGGCCTGCACAACCTTATGGCCACACTCGATGCCTGAACAACCTCGTGGATTCTTTCCTAATATCCAGTCAACTCTGTGTCACACCGTTCAGCATGAATACTGTCAACCTCTTGCCTTTCCCCGTCAAAGACTGGACAACCTCCTACTGACCACTGCACCAGACAACCTCATGCTCCCCCAGCCTGAGTTCAATACCATTTGGTGCTCTCCCATCTCAAGTTTGGATAACTTCAGGGTCCCCATGCTTTGCCTGGATAAACTCATTTTCTCACAAATCCAAGTTCACCCCCTTCAGTTTCCCACCCCACCATGTGACCCCAAACAACCTCATGATCCTACAAACTTAAGGTCCAATAACCTTCTACAATCCCTTCTCCTATTTGACCCTGGATAATCTCATTGCCCCATAAATCCTAGGAAGATGACCTCTGATGCCTCTCTCCCTCACACTGAGCCAGGACAATGTGATGACCCCAAAGAATTGAGGCACAGACATTTTATGACCTCTTACCCCTGCCCTCTGTGCCTGAACCACCTCAAGGCCCTCTGAGCCCAGGTAACACTGGGCTCCATCCTTGACCCTGGCCAGTCTACTGCCCTCTCAGCTGCCCTCCTCCCAACCTGGGCTCCAAGCTGTCCCTGCTCACCCCTGTCCCCAGGAAGGACTTGGAAGAGCTGGTAGTCCCGGTCCCAGGGCTGGGGGACATTGTGTTTCTGCAAGGCTCTCCGCACCACACTGGGGGCTTTGTCCTGACTAGTAAGCTGGAAGAGAGGGGCAGGAGTGCGGTGTGAGTGCCCCAGTGCCAAAGGCAGGGCTGTCCCCAGCAGGCCCCCCGCCAGCCCCTTACCAAGATGCTCCGATACAGGTTCCCATGGTCGTTGTTGATACTGATGCGGATGATGCGGGCCTCTGAGCTCTGCTGCCCCAGGAGAGGCATGCGAGGGCTGCCCAAGGGCAAGGCCAGGGGCTGGGAGCCTGGCAGGTCCGGACTCAGGGGCAGCTGTAGGCAGTGGGGGTCAGGGCTTGCAACTTTGCCCATCTGCAGAGGATGTGGGGCTGGAGACCACGATCCTCTCCCCCACTGGTGTCTTCAAGAGGCCCACGCTTACAATCCCAAGTACACACAACTACACACCCAGAGCCTGGCATGCAATTAGGGCATACACATAAGCCCACATATATGTCATTGTAGCATATACAGACCTTGGTTCTCTGTTACAGAAACATGTACACATGACCCTTATACACACAAACCCACGCTCACACACAAGAAATCCTGTGTACACAGACAGCAGTGTGCAAGCACTTGCCCACGGCCGGCATACACCCACAGCCCATATCAAGGAACAACCCCACAAATGGCAGATATTCAGACCCACTTTCCCCTTCAGGTATACAGATTCCTAGGGACACCCATGTCTTTGAAAAAGTGTGTGACTGCTCCCGAGTGCCCCGTGCAGTTCCAGATCTGAGCACAAGCCAGATTGTTGGACGATCGCTCAAACAGGACCATGGAGATGCACATGGTACCCTGGATGAATATGCAGAGTCCTCAGCCAGTTTCCCGTACACACACTTGGTCCCACAATCCTGTGTGTACACGTACACACACACGCACACACACACACACAACCCTGGGTGTCCGCAGTCCCACATGCANGCCATGGAGACGCACATGGTACCCTGGATGAATATGCAGAGTCCTCAGCCAGTTTCCCGTACACACACTTGGTCCCATAATCCTGTGTGTACACGTACACACACACGCACACACACACACACAACCCTGGGTGTCCGCAGTCCCACATGCACGCACAAGCAGTCTTGGTACCTTGGTGCTGGGGCCCTGGGGCCCTGGGGAGTTCGGGGGACAGCCAGGAGGAGGGTCCCTGGCTGTAGGACTGGATGGAGGGGACCCTGGGGACAGACTGGGGGAGACACAGAGCTCGAGGTTGGGTGGCTGCCCGGACACCTGATCCTGCTGTCTCTAGTCCTTTTACCAAGTGAGATGCTCACCTGGAGGTGGGTGAAGAGGGATCCCCAGGACTCCCATCAGAGAATGAACTTTTCTCTCGGGCCAGCTTCCTGAGGATGGGGATGGGGGATGTGGCTGAGGCCAGACTCAGCCCCAGGAGCAGCACCCTACACACACACAGACACCCCGAGACTCACACGCTGAGGCGCTTGGTGAGGCTGATGTGCCGCCGGAGCCGTGGGGAGCTGGGGCAGGAGGCAGCCGGTGGCTCGATGACACGGGAGACTCGGTAGCTGAGGGGTCAACGTGTGGATGGAAAGGGGGACCGGGAAGCAGCAGGAGGTGAAGACATAAGAGTTAGAATCAGTTGGGAGCCGGGTTCTGGGTGTGATGGGGGAGCAGCCACTGTCAGGCTCCAAATGTCAGGGTCAGAGTTGTAATTGGGGGTCATTGAGACACCGGGGTCTTATCAGGGAGTAAGTGGGATGGCGTGGCTGGCAGGTCACAGGGGGATTCATGATGCAGGACTGAGTCAAATTGGGTCAAGGTCAGATAGGGGTCAGGCAACCACTGGGGCCAGTGGTCCAGGTCATGATGCAGCCGGATGCAAGGAAACATCTGGGAAAGTCGAGCTGGGTGGTCAAATAAACACCAAATTTGGAGTCAGTTACTCACAACTGGGGGTTAATGATTGGGGTCAGGGAGTCAGATGGGGGTCATGGGTCAGGATCAGAAGTTGGGGAGGAGAACGGATGGGACAGTTGAGTTGAAGTCAGAAAGACAGATGGGGTCAATGTTTAGAGGTCAGAGGTCGACTGGGGCCCTTGATTGGGTTGCAGATAATACAAGATCACAGGTTGGGGCTCAGGGCTCTGGAGGGATCTTGGGAAGAGCTGGAGAGGTGCATGTGGTGAGCAGAATCCAGGGTCAGCTGGGGTGGGGCTGGGCCAGGCCACAAGGTGGTCACCTCTGCTCCTCGCTGAGCTGACGCTGGGCACGCAGGGCGGCCAGGATGGGCGGCCGGGGGCTCAGGCTGTAGCTCTGACAGCGCCTCTGCAGCTGCTGGATGCGGGCAAGAATCTCCCACTCCTGGGGGAGCAGCCTCTGAGACCTGAGCCCCGCTCCATTCCCCCCCCCGCCAGGCACCCGGCACACCCACTCCCATGCCCACTCACCTTCCTCCTCTTCTCAAAGTTGATGAGATCCCCCTGGGGACAAAGTTCATCTGAACTAGAGCTTCTGTGGTCAAGGCTCAAGGGTAAAGTTCATGGACTGGGATGTTAGGAACCCCACTGTGCTAAGGGGGCTGGGGTCAGGGGTGCAGGCAGGATCAAGGGTGGATGTTGCGAGTCCCACTGTGCTGGGGGCATGTGGAGTGGGAGTCATGAGTCAAGGGTCAGGGGTCAGACCTCCAACATGTCCGGCAGGGCTGTGTCCAGCATAACCAGGTCCGTGAGGAATGTGCCAAGGTAGGGAACAGGGCCTGGGGGTGGTTTCTGCAGCCCCCAAATCCCCTGTTACTCTCAGCTGTCACTGCCCGTCACCCTCCACGCCCCTCCTCCTCCAGGGACCCACTTATCCCCCAACCGAAATAGTGTCACTCACTGTTGGCAGGCTTCCTGGGGGTGAGTCCTCCTCTTGGGGTCCATCAGTGGCCTCTTCCTGGAGGGGGGAAGGGAAGGGCTGAACAGTCTTAGGGTGTCCTTTGACCCTTCCTCAGAGAAGATGTCTCAAGACCCACCAAATACACCCATTTTGCTTTCAGGTATCCCAAGGAGCTGGATCACCCTGGGGAAAGTGAACTGGGGGCAGGCGGAGGTATGCAGATAAACAGCCGGGGGCAGGTCCCACCCAGGGATGATGGCAGGTGGAGCTTATAGGTGCCTTAACACACAAAAGAATCTTTGTCCCCAGCCTGGATGGCACAGGTCTCCTGGGAATCCCTGGGAACAGCCTGAATTTGCCCTGATAGCACTGCTGTGCCTGGTAATTATATAATCCTGGGGGGCAGTTACTATTGCCGTCTGGGGCCTGAGTCCCCCTTCTGCCCTCGGCAGGATCCATGTCTGTCTGGTTCATGGAGGAGCAAAAACAGTGCCTGTTACACAGTAGGTGCTTAAGGCAGAGCCCCATGTTCCTCGAGCCCTCATTATTTGAGACATTCCTTTGCTAACAAGATATTTATTGAGCACCTACTCTGTGCTATGTGCCATTCTGGGGATTGGGTAGACAGCAGCTATAGTGGATTGAATTATGTCCCCCAAAACTCTCTGAAGCTTGAATTGTGTCCCTCAAGTTTTATGTATTAGAAACTTAGTCCCCACTGTGACTGTTAAGAGTGTGGGAAATCCTATTATGGTAATTGGAAGGTGGAGCCTTGAGGAGGTGATTAGATTCTAGGACCGTGCCATAGTGAATGGATTAAAAATGGTGATCAGGGGTGTGGTTCTGAGGGGTTTAAAAGGAGAGGAG